GGCTCTTAGGCCTAGTTTTTACCTATATCCATCTTAGAAAACCGAATTGAGGCTTCCCAGCACTTAAATACATCCAATACTTCGATGTCCCAATTTTCCCAAAATGGTTACAAAAATCAAAATTGGAACCACCCTCACATCGGTTCTAGACATGCAGTTATTCTCAAACTTGGTTTGAGTGGTCCTAGGACCAATGTAAACACTTTCCGACCCATTTTAAACCATTCTGAGCACTTTAAGAAGAATGTTCATTTTCGTTCATTTCTGGTCATTCCATGGGTAATATTATACGACTTTTGATGTCTCCTAGGCCTAGCCTACAGCTATATCCATCTAAGAAAACCGAACTCAGCCTTCCCAGCACTTAAATACAACCAATACTTCGATGTGCCCATGTTCCAAAAATCTGGATTCTCAGGAGGATTATTGTCCCAAAATTGGAACATTTTGGAACATTGGTAACATCGGTTCTAGACATGCAGTGATTCCCAAACTTGGTTTGAGTGGTCCTAGGACTAATATAAACACTTTCCGACCAATTTTAAACCATTCTGAGCACTTTGAGAAGAATGTTCATTTTCGTTCATTTCTGGTCATTCCATGGGTAATTTTATACGACTATTAATGGCTCCTAGGCCTAGCTTACGGCTATATCCATCTTAGAAAACCGAACTGAGCCTTCCCAGCACTCAAATACGGCCAATACTGCGATGTGCCCATGTCCCAAATTTATGGATTCATCTACTGGCATCTTCTGGATTCTTCGAGAATTTGATATAATTACAAACAAACAAATAGAGTTTTAGCGCAGCGCTGTATTTTTTGAGCCGCGCCGCGCCATTTTTGGTGGTAACACGGCGTCTGCAGTACTCTTTTCTTGTGTTTGAAGTGATATCTCTAATTTGGCCAATAGAAATTCACCCAAACTTACACAGATTATCCGTTCTATAACCACCTTTCTTTATGGAAAGTTTCAAGAAAATCGTACGCTAAATCACTGACTATTATAGGAGTATAATTGTATTGTATCAGATTCCATCTTGGAGAAGGTGGTCTCCCGATTCAAAATGAACAACTAGGAGTTTGAGATAAGAGGGGCTTTTAAATAATTACTCTATCATTATATTTTAACACAATAGCTATATAATTGTGATCTAAAATTAACTGAGATGGATACTTATTGTTACATTGATATTTCAGGACTCGATCGCTGATATTAAAATCGAAGAGTTAGAATTAATTGGGACACGGAACAACTATACTCTTTGAAGCCTGGAAAATACGATAGATCTTGTTGAGACTCAACAGTCAATATAAGTTATGTGGGGAGAAAATGAGCTACTGGACCCTCTTAAACAGCGACTTTTTCAAAAAAATGTAGATGGCCAACGGCTGGCATCGAACCAGTCATCTCTGGTTTCGGCCTAGGAAATTAGGCGCTCAAGCTAGTCAGGCTGTTGATGTGTACGATCTATTTATATAGTCATAATATGTAATGACTAATAGTGTGAGATCTCTTTTAAAGATTCGAATTACTGTTTGATGTATATAACTGTTCAATGTTTTTGTTGCATTAAAAAAGAAGCTGCGGATTAGTTTCAAGATCCGCCAGTTTTAAATTTGCTAAGCTAGTCTTTATATTAACTGTGAGTAATAGTTAAATTTTGATATTATACTTATATTTATTATTGTAAAGCTGTAATATTATGCTATCATGATGTTTTCTCCTAATTATAGCTTGCATACAACATTATATACTTTGCTGTGATCAGGAATCACAATTGACAATACTTCTTTAGTGTAAATGATTGTACGCGATTTGAAGTCTTGATTTGATTTCATTAGGACCTCCACTTATGTTCGGATGACAGAATTTGATGTTTTATTTTTCAATGCCACTATTGCAAATCATTTAAGGAAAGGAACTGTAGTTCTCTTATATCCCCAAAAGGTTCGTAGCTGAAATGACAACCAATCTTCTGACGAATTTCTGTCCAAAAATTTCTGCGACACGCGTAGCAACAAGAAGCCCGCGGCATTCGCCGGGGTGTAAGTGAGACCGTGAGCACCACTTCTTGCCAATTTGCTTTTGAATTACGGCCCAATCATGAAGTGAAACAGTACAAGTTGTGTTTTAACGGCAAAATACAGCGAATTCTAGCCCTTGAAAGTTGTAGGTTTGGAAGATCAATACGGCTGCTTTAATTCTTAAAAGTCTTAAGTTAGAACGGCCAAAACACCCTATTCGGCGTCAGCCAGCTGCACCCAGGAACCCTGACCGGATGGGGCTTAACTTTGAAAGTAAAAGAGTTGGAGACTTCCGGTTTTTTGTAACATGTTCCTCTTTTAAAAGTAACGTTACCTCTCCAGGAGGAAAATTCAAGACAACGTAATTAATGAGTTATCTCAAAATCTCCAGAAAAGTCCCCTTTCGGGCCGATCAAAAGTTTGCAACTTTAACTTTGCGGATTCCTGTACTCTGGTTGGCTGAATTGTGTCACGTGGTAGCTGCTTGAACATTGGAATACGCCACGCGTGCAAATCATGCTCGTTGTCGCGCGCGAGGTCGAGCCGTCTGTTTAAATTAAACCAACTCTAGTACCACCACCAGCCGGTAACTTTTCCTGGGTAAGAAGTAACCAATTAGGGCTACTAAATGCCGAACACAAGGATATTTCGTATTCGGATCATATGCCTGCAGGCTGTCTGTCGCTTAAGACCATGGTCGCTCTTAACTGAGCGATAAGTGACGTTAAGTGAGACCGTGAGCACCACTTCTTGCCAATTTGCTTTTGAATTACGGCCCAATCATGAAGTGAAACAGTACAAGTTGTGTTTTAACGGCAAAATACAGCGAATTCTAGCCCTTGAAAGTTGTAGGTTTGGAAGATCAATACGGCTGCTTTAATTCTTAAAAGTCTTAAGTTAGAACGGCCAAAACACCCTATTCGGCGTCAGCCAGCTGCACCCAGGAACCCTGACCGGATGGGGCTTAACTTTGAAAGTAAAAGAGTTGGAGACTTCCGGTTTTTTGTAACATGTTCCTCTTTTAAAAGTAACGTTACCTCTCCAGGAGGAAAATTCAAGACAACGTAATTAATGAGTTATCTCAAAATCTCCAGAAAAGTCCCCTTTCGGGCCGATCAAAAGTTTGCAACTTTAACTTTGCGGATTCCTGTACTCTGGTTGGCTGAATTGTGTCACGTGGTAGCTGCTTGAACATTGGAATACGCCACGCGTGCAAATCATGCTCGTTGTCGCGCGCGAGGTCGAGCCGTCTGTTTAAATTAAACCAACTCTAGTACCACCACCAGCCGGTAACTTTTCCTGGGTAAGAAGTAACCAATTAGGGCTACTAAATGCCGAACACAAGGATATTTCGTATTCGGATCATATGCCTGCAGGCTGTCTGTCGCTTAAGACCATGGTCGCTCTTAACTGAGCGATAAGTGACGTTAAGTGAGACCGTGAGCACCACTTCTTGCCAATTTGCTTTTGAATTACGGCCCAATCATGAAGTGAAACAGTACAAGTTGTGTTTTAACGGCAAAATACAGCGAATTCTAGCCCTTGAAAGTTGTAGGTTTGGAAGATCAATACGGCTGCTTTAATTCTTAAAAGTCTTAAGTTAGAACGGCCAAAACACCCTATTCGGCGTCAGCCAGCTGCACCCAGGAACCCTGACCGGATGGGGCTTAACTTTGAAAGTAAAAGAGTTGGAGACTTCCGGTTTTTTGTAACATGTTCCTCTTTTAAAAGTAACGTTACCTCTCCAGGAGGAAAATTCAAGACAACGTAATTAATGAGTTATCTCAAAATCTCCAGAAAAGTCCCCTTTCGGGCCGATCAAAAGTTTGCAACTTTAACTTTGCGGATTCCTGTACTCTGGTTGGCTGAATTGTGTCACATGGTAGCTGCTTGAACATTGGAATACGCCACGCGTGCAAATCATGCTCGTTGTCGCGCGCGAGGTCGAGCCGTCTGTTTAAATTAAACCAACTCTAGTACCACCACCAGCCGGTAACTTTTCCTGGGGCCCTGCCAACTTGCTTCCTCCAGTTCCCGGACCTGCCCCTCTAGCAGGTGCTCTTTGGCTGCTTGATAAGCATCGCCTAGCTTCTGTTTGCCCTCTTGAACAGCTATTCGGTTGTCTTCTGTAGCATCTGAGTGGTATTTTATGCTACATTCCCTCAGCTTCAGCCTGGCAATCTCAACACTTGGAGTCGCTGAGATTTTACATCTTTTCTTTTTCTCCTTTTCAGGTAGTAAAAGTCGAGAAGTTGTCCTATTCGCATCAATAAAGCATTGGTACCTTTCTGTTGCCGTCTGATCATCCTTTTCAAGTATGGAAAAGCGGTTTTTAACTTCCACTGTGTACCTCTCTTGTAGAGCGATATCAGTTTTAAGTTTAGACCAGTCCAGAACCGGAGCCCTCTTCTCCGTCTTGCTTATCCGTAGACTAAGCTTTACCCTTGCTACGACTACTCTGTGATCCGAGCCAATACTGTGGAAACTACCATATGCTTCGGAGTTCTTGACGGAGTTCCGCCATTTCTTCCGGCAAATGATGAAGTCGATTTGAGATTTACTTTGAGTCTATTTTAAGTTTAATTTTAGTTTAATTTTAGTCAATCAGTTGACTTTTGATTTTGTTTAGTATTAGTTTTTTTTATTGACCAATGAAATCCTAGAATCATTGTCATTATACCTATGTATATTATAAGTATACTCTTTGTATAAGTTTACTCTATGTATATGTATTCTCTATGTATATGTATTATCTATGTATATGTATTCTCTATGTATATGAATAATAACTATAGTGTATACTCTATTATACTCTACATCACTATGTATACTATAAGTATACTCTATGTATATGTATTATCTATGTATATGTATACTTTATGTATATGTATTATCTATGTATATATATTCTCTATTTATATGTATAATAACTATAGTGTGTACTCTATTATACTCTACACCACTCTGTACAGGTATACGCGGAGACCGGGTCGGAATGGGTCGAGTGTGGAAGGATAGCGGTTACTAGCACCACTTCAACCAGGGGCCAGACTTACACTGTCGACTGTGGGGGCATAGTTGGTACGTCATTTAAGTTCTTTATGCTGCTTTATGATGGGGTGGAAGGGACTGATTAATGTGTATAATCTTATAATGGTTTCTTCAGTTTAAGGTTTGTTTTATTGAATAGTCTCACAACTATGAATTAACCATTATTATTTCATGAATATTCAAAGTAGATGTACTAAGTTTAATCGTTTCAGCGACTTCTGTGAAAATTGTACAAGAGCAAAAGTGGAACAAGAGAAATTGCTTGGATTTAAAGGAAGTTAAAGTTTACGGAATCAGCGGAGGTTAATATCAATTTATTTTAAAGAAATAATCGAATTTCCACATTATCAAAAAGAAGTAGTTATAGTTATATTTGTTAATATATTCGAGTTATACAACTTGAATTTCCATACTTTTTAACTCTCAGATGTAGAGGAGCCTGATGTCGATGAAGGGCCTCCTGCTGGTAAGAAATATGTTTTTCTGTGTGGAGATATTTTCTGTGTTGAGATATTTTAGTGATAATACGGCAGTAAATCCAGATATGTTAGACAATTTTAATCATCAGAATGCTTCCAAAATATGTATCTCAGATAATAAACACAGTTGATGATGGTTGGAGTGAGTAATGGTACCACTTACTAATAACTAATTACTTATTATCAGTTGATGGTGGTTGGAGTGAGTATGGAGATTGGTCGGAGTGTTCAGTCGACTGCGGAAGAGGAACCCAAACCAGAACTAAGACTTGTACTAATCCGGTACCAGAGAACGGAGGTGCAGACTGTGAAGGGTCACCCACACAGATTCAGCCTTGTTTCGGCAAATGTATTGGTAGGTTTAAGGGTCACCCACACAGATTCAGCCTTGTTTAGGCAAATGTATTGGTAGGTAGGCAAATGTATTGGTAGGTTAAGGGTCACCCACACAGATTCAGCCTTGTTTAGGCAAATGTATTGGTCGGTTTAAGGGTCACCCACACAGATTCAGCCTTGTTTAGGCAAATGTATTGGCAGGTTTAAGGGTCACCCACACAGATTCAGCCTTGTTTCGGCAAATGTATTGGTAGGTTTAAGGGTCACCCACACAGATTCAGCCTTGTTTCGGCAAATGTATTGGTAGGTTTAAGGGTCACCCACACAGATTAGGCCTTGTTTCGGCAAATGTATTGGTAACTTTTCAGTACCTCTTGATTATGGATAACATCAAAACGTTTCAGTCCCTCTTGACGGCGGATGGAGTGACTGGAGTAACTGGTCAGAATGCTCCGCAGAGTGCGAGGGAGGGACTCAGAGCAGGAGCAAAACCTGCACAGATCCGGTTCCTAAAAACGGTGGTGCTGACTGTGTGGGGGCAGGTTCAGAGACTAGGAACTGTAATACACAAGAGTGTCCTACTTTGCCTGGTAGGTGTAATACGTAATTATTGATTTTCAGTGTTATTTTCTTATCGAGTCTTTGATATCCTTAAATAAATTTATAGATTTATGTGCCCAAAATAAATAAAGAGACTATTGTATTCATATCATATTGGCAAGAATGCAGAGTTTACAGTCTAGAATCGCCGTTTCTGTGGAGGCTTTTCTATATTGTATATTAATATTTTCATAAAACTGAACTTTGATATATTCACAGGATTGGACGTGGTACAACTGATCCGTAAGTTACATTATCTCAAACGCAAGGTTCTATTTTATCAATTTAACTTAAAATTTGAATGAAAAGTTTTTAAAAATAATGGTTTCGTTATCTAACAATTAAATCAATATTTCCCTCTTTCACTTTCGCTTTCACTTTCAGCCCACTTTGAGGTGTCTCAAAGCAGTACAGCAAAATCCTTGTCAGCTTCCTTGGCAGTTGATGGTGACCTTGACACCAAGTAAGTGATGTTTTTAATTTTGTTCAACAAAACTGCTTCTTCTAAGTAGAATGAAATAATCTTTAATACTTAAATAGAAATTCCACCAGTAAGCTATTCTCGGTAACCATATTATATTATTTTTATCTCGTCTCACAATGAAATCTGTACAAATACCCTCTTGCAGGTCACAAACCGGATGTACCGGTAAAGCTAACTCCTGGTTCAAATACACGGTACAAAAACATTCTTAAATAACTATTTATCAATGTAATTGTAAGCATTAAAAAAATTAAGATCCGTTGTAAATCTTCAAAAGATGCAAAAAAGCGGTGTTTCATGTTTTATTCTTGCCAATTTATCGCGATTAAATTAAATGGGGACCAATTCATCATGTTCGAATCTAATCGCTAATAGCTTGATATTCTGTATTAATTGTTAACCCCTTAACACATATTTAGTATTTACCTAGAGTTTGAACTTATACAGTTTATTTTGATATAGTTATCTTATAGATCATTTGTTATAGTTTCTCTCGATTAGCCTCCTGATATTATTACTAATTACTTCATTTCTACTAATTACCTAATTACTGCTACTGATATTGCTACTAATAACTTCATTTCTGCTAATTACCTAATTACTACTACTGATATTATTACTAATAACTTCATTTCTGCTAATTACCTAATTACTATTACTGATATGGCTACTAATTAATCTTTGGTTGCAGCTAGCTGAACCACACAGTGTTGGAAAAGTGGAAATAGTAAACGGAAATAATGACAAAAAGAGAGGGAAACTAGACAAAGCTATGGTAATTTAACTGCTTCTTTTTAATTTACTTTTCAAAGCAGGTACATTGTTTTCGCATTTTACTCAAGTGTCCAAGTAAACAAATATAAAATATTTGGCCCCTGAATTACTTGCGGGAGATAAGAGTATACTAATACTCAAACCAACGAGAAATGATTTAATCTCCCATCTTTTTCTTCCAGTAAATCTTCAAAGTAAGCTTTATTACATGATAATAACTACTTCACTATTTTGCAGGTTTACGGTGAGCACGGGTTCGAAAAGTTTTTGTGTGGTAGAGTACAAGTAACAGAAGTAGCCTCAACAGAGGGGCAAACTTACTCGGTCAACTGTGGGGGCAGATTAGGTTTGTTACTGGCTAATAAGTAATAACTGATTTATAAATGGCTAATGAACGGCTAATTACCGGCTAATAACTGGTTAATTAATGGCTAATTACCGGCTATTAACTGGTTAATTACTTAACAGCAAGTGGCCGATTAAAAAATGTATGGTGTAAAACAATATTTCGTATGATTTCAGCAACTTCCGTGAAAATTGTACAAAAGGAAAAATGGAACAAAAGAAAATGCTTGGAATTGAAAGAGGTGCGAGTGTTCGAGTACTCTGAAGAGTTGGAAGGTAATATTATGTTAATTATTCAACATCTAATAATCATTTAATATAATATAATGCATTCTCATAAACAGGGGCTGTGCTCCGCCTCCACTCCCTGTCTTTTCAAATCTTCAATTCGGTTGGATTTGTTTTAAGCTCCCAACGCACCATATTAATAGTTATTCTAATCCTGGACCAGGCAAAAGTCCTGCTCACATTGGGACACTGGCTAAGTTTCTCGATGTAATCCGACTTATATGACCCTAAATAACACAATTGACTCGGGTACACTTTTTCACCAGTGGGCATTTCTCGGAATCACGCCCTTTTTGACCGCACCCATATCGCGTCCCCCACTATAAATTATCTCGGCTTCTGATTGAGATACAGACCTCAGCCATGAACCAAAATGTGCCTAAGATGCATGTTTATATTAGTGCTATGAAGAAACTTAAGGCCTAAGAGACTTAGTTTTTGAGAAATCGCCAAAAATCCGATTTTACTATACTATCAGTCTCGAGAGTAACAATTATCACACTTATTTCAAGATATCTCCGCTTCTGATTGGAGCTAAGCGCTCATCTTGGGCATTAAAATGGTCAGAATCATCATATTAAGTGGGGTATAGCATGGTTTCAAAGTCTTCAGACTTCAGGTTGTTGAGTTATTAGGTCAGATCCAATTTTTACGCTCTCGCGAATAGCGATTGATGCACTTATTTCAAGATATCTCAGCTTCTGATTGGAGTTTAACGCTCATCTTGGGCATTGAAATGATCAGAATCATCATATTGAGTGGGGTAGAGCATGGTTTTAAAGTCTTCAGACTTCAGGTTGTTGAGTTATTAGGTCAGATCCCATTTTTACGCTCTCGCGAGTAGCGATTGATGCACTTATTTCAAGATATCTCAGCTTCTGATTGGAGTTTAACGCTCATCTTGGGCATTGAAATGATCAGAATCATCATATTGAGTGGGGTAGAGCATGGTTTCAAAGTCTTCAGACTTCAGGTTGTTGAGCTATTAGGTCAGATCCCATTTTTACGCTCTTGCGAATAGCGATTGATGCACTTATTTAAAGATATCTCAGCTTCTGAGTGGAGCTAAGCGTTCATCTTGGGCATTAAAATAGTAAAAGTTATCAAATTAAGTAGCATCGAGCATGGTTTTAAAGTCTTTAGACTTCAGGTTATTAAATTATTAGGTTAAACCCTATTTTTATGCTCTCGCAAGAATGGTCGCAATGGTGAAAATATTTATTAAATGAACTGTAATTAATCGCCAGGAAAAAGTTGTTTGCCAAGAAATATCAGTAAAAATGTCACTAAAACCTCTAGCACTAGGAACATGCTTTACCCCACTTAATATGATCATACTGACTATTTCAATGCCCATGATAAGCACTTAGCTTCAATCAGAAGCTGCGATATCTTCTAATAAGTGTGTCCATCGCTACTCGCAAGAGTGTAAAAATATGTTTTAACCTAATAATTCTACAACCTGAAGTCTGAAGACTTTAAAACCACGCTCTACCCCACTCAATATGATGATTCTGATCATTTCAATGCCCAAGATGAACGCTTAGCTCCACTCAGAAGCTGAGATATCTTTAAATAAGTGCATCAATCGCTATTCGCGAGAGCGTAAAAATGGGATCTGACCTAATAGCTCAACAACCTGAAGTCTGAAGACTTTGAAACCATGCTCTACCCCACTCAATATGATGATTCTGATCATTTCAATGCCCAAGATGAGCGTTAAACTCCAATCAGAAGCTGAGATATCTTGAAATAAGTGCATCAATCGCTACTCGCGAGAGCGTAAAAATGGGATCTGACCTAATAACTCAACAACCTGAAGTCTGAAGACTTTAAAACCATGCTCTACCCCACTCAATATGATGATTCTGATCATTTCAATGCCCAAGATGAGCGTTAAACTCCAATCAGAAGCTGAGATATCTTGAAATAAGTGCATCAATCGCTATTCGCGAGAGCGTAAAAATTGGATCTGACCTAATAACTGAACAACCTGAAGTCTGAAGACTTTGAAACCATGCTATACCCCACTTAATATGATGATTCTGACCATTTTAATGCCCAAGATGAGCGCTTAGCTCCAATCAGAAGCGGAGATATCTTGAAATAAGTGTGATAATTGTTACTCTCGAGACTGATAGTATAGTAAAATCGGATTTTTGGCGATTTCTCAAAAACTAAGTCTCTTAGGCCTTAAGTTTCTTCATAGCACTAATATAAACATGCATCTTAGGCACATTTTGGTTCATGGCTGAGGTCTGTATCTCAATCAGAAGCCGAGATAATTTATAGTGGGGGACGCGATATGGGTGCGGTCAAAAAGGGCGTGATTCCGAGAAATGCCCACTGGTGAAAAAGTGTACCCGAGTCAATTGTGTTATTTAGGGTCATATAAGTCGGATTACATCGAGAAACTTAGCCAGTGTCCCAATGTGAGCAGGACTTTTGCCTGGTCCAGGATTATTCATATTAAAGGGAAAATTGGTATACTTATCTTTAAAGCCGACCATGTTGTAAAACATTGGAAATGGTTCTAAAGCAAGTATTCAGTGATGATATTATAATATTAATTTCGTTTCAGGGGAGGAATGATTGTTCCCAGGAGATAAATGTTGAGTTATGAGGCTGCAAGTACTGTCTGTGACTTATCAGAGTGATTCGCCTAAAATATTGCCATATCATTACTGTCTTATGACAATTACATTGTCGCAAAATTGGCAATGATCAGATTTATATGAAAATATTGAACAGTGTTTTATATTTTTTGCATTTATGTGACAAATCCCAGCTTTGAAAAAAGTTTACCAGATTTTTACGTGGACAATTTGAGTTTATCGATACAATTAATTAAATTGATAATTACTAATAATACGAGCTAAATTGATATTGTGGACGTTCAGTAGCTGGCCAGTAATATTCATGGTCAGGGGTGTAGGAAGCGGGGAGGGGGCCGAATTTTTAATTTAGGTTTCTAAAAATTTTCAAAGTTTTCTTGGAAACTACTTTTGTTCATGTTTCATGCTACCCTGATCATTATGAGCCAAAAATATTGTCCACACCTACCCCTTAATTCGATATACGATTTTGGGTTCGAGGGTTCCCCTTTATAAACCCCTCCGGGTCAGAATAAGATTCTGATAATCCCGGCTCCCGCTAAATAGATTCTGATAATCCCGGCTCCCGCTGTTAGTTTTTTCCCGCTGAATAAATAACCCCGGCACAGCTTCTATAATCCCGCCCCGGTTATTTGGCTCAACTAGATTTGTTCTGTTTTGATATTACATGATAATTTCAACCGCGCACTGTCACGTGTTTTGATGACGTGTATCACGTGACTAACTACTACGACGCGCATTGGTAAAAAATGTCACGTGACCTATGGCTTAACGTAAGAACTATTTAATACACTTGATCTACGTATCGGTCTAATTGCAGGCGCTGGCAAAACTCCAGCACACTGCTTACATTACTTAAACTCTTACATTAATTGGACCAATTCCAGAACTTGTCTCGACGGTTACATTTGATTTTGTCCGGTTAATTTTGTCGTGTTTGTTATAAGCCATGTATTATATTATATACCTATAGTCGTCTATTTTGATGAACTTCATGACACGATATCATTATTAGCTCCACCTTTTATCGCTTGCCAGGCTTAACTCGACGCCCCTTATATTATCAATATTCATATTCATTCAACGTTCTGACTGAGGAATAATGTTTAGATATAACGCCAATTTCAAATGTCATAGTACCTTAGTTGTATTTATTTGGTAGTCCCCAATTCCATTTCATATTTTCCATACTGATCTCATATAGCTAGAATTAAGAGTAAAATGTCAAATTGCTGGTCCTAGCACTAACCCGGACGGGTTTATAACACATAAAACCGGCACGCTTAAGTTATATTAAAATAACCCCTCGTGCTAAAGCACGTCGGGGTTATTTTCATAATAATCCCTCGTGCTTCGCACTCGAAATTATTATAAATTTTTCCCGCGCGTCGCGGGAAAAATTGAAATATAATCCCTGCGCTTGCCGGGGTTATGTGTGTTGTAATGCGATCTCGGAAGCGGGAGCTCTGCCTTCAGAGGTACGTATCGAGAATGACTCGGACCGAAATTTTTCTAAGTCAACAATTTTCAAAGTTTTTCTGGAAACTACTTTTGTTCATGTTTCATGCTACCCTGATCATTATGAACCGAAAATATTTTTTTCTAAACTTTTTTAGGAAACAAATAATTTTTCGAGTTTTTTTTACTAAAAATTTTGTAAGTCAAAAATTTTCAAAGTTTTCTTGCATCTTGGAAACTACTTTTGTTTATGTTTCGTGCTACCCTGATCATTATGAGCCGAAAATATTTTTTCGGATTTCTGAAGTCCGTACCTACATTCGGAACTTACGGAAGGCTGTTGATGTGATTGGTTTTATATACTTACTAGTGTAACCCGGCCTTCGGCCGGGATTTCACTGCCGCAGTTAAAAAGGGTAGGAGTAATTACCCGCTGAGTCAAAACCCGCATTAGGTGACCCAATAGTTTCTTAAACAATAATCTCATAATCAGCTATTCCTTGTATTGTGGATAATTAAGTCATTATTAGCCATGAGGCACCACATTACATGATCATAAGGTCTGAACACCGACTATTACACCTCATCACTCCCGTCTTGAACCGCTTTCCATTTTTATTTAAATCGTTATAGAAATTAACCCTTGTTAACTCCGCACCACACCCGCCTATTATATTTGAAAACACGCATAACATTATCGTATGAACTCTCTCTCTTTCTCTCTCTCTCTCTCTCTCTCTCTCTGCAGTCCAAACAGACCCCAAACACTAACAGTCCCCCATCCCCTAATAAGCTTATGGTATAAAATTACAGCGAATCTTCCGGGCTAATCCAATTATGACGCTACTTAAATGCAGCTATAACATATCATACAGTAATGAGAGAGAGAGAGGAAGCCCCGTAACTCTTGCCGTTCTGCTCAAGCAATTTTATGTAACATTTGTGGTACAAAACCATCAATTAAACCACTTACCACCGGCCGATTTAAAAAAAAATTTCTTATGGGCTTCATCAGAGTTTTGTCGGCACTATACCGAAAAAACCAGTCCCGTAACTCTTACCGTTTTTTTTTTGTATAACCGACCGGAAATTACACACGGACGGACACACAGACGATCAGACAGACAGACACACACACATCCTGGTGTTATTAAGGTGATAGAAAACGTGGTATTTGGCCCGCAGATTTGAAGGAAAATACGCGAATTTGGTCCTCAGATTTAAAGAAAAATGCGCAATTTGTCGCGGAGAACTGAAAAAATCGCGATTCCGCACATGCCACAATTTCCTTTTGTCCTTGACCTTACCCGACAATTTTTTGGTTCAGGCTTTGGCGCGAAGCTCGCCAAAAAATTTATAATTTGACTTTTTCAAAATTATCGCGATAATAAGCAGTTACATCACTGCTTATAATGTGATAACATTATTTTCTCAACTTTGAGTTGTGAAAATAGTTTTATCCAACGAGTTTGACGAGTTGGATAAAACGAGTTACACTACCGAGGTTTGACCGAGCTGTGTAACTCATGTTATCAATAACAAGTAGTCAAACATTTGTGGCAAGTTTTGTGTGAGTGTGAGCTTCACTGAGCTTATATTTGACCAATTTAAAATAATTAGCAACATCTCAGCGACCTGTAACAATTTTAAGAGATAAGGATGGACCAGTGCGATAACAATAGTTATTGCCCTCCCAGTTATTGCACCCCTATTTAATGCATTATATTAGCGTAAACAAGAGTGAGATAACAACTTTTACATTATGGACAGTTACACACTGATCATGAGAGAATATCGGTTATCGGCGATAAATTTGGCAAGATAATAGAAGTAATACTAATATTTTTTGCACTCTGCATACTTGAACTATGCTTCTATGCTATGTAACCTTGTTACATCATCATTATATAGTTATTAGTTACAATATCATTAATTGAATAAAATTTCCAAAAATGCAGAAATATTGAGTCTGGAGTCATGACAAATCCTTATAAATAAAATGAATATCGGTAAAATTCGAACTTCGAAGATTAAAATAGAAAACTTTGATAGCATTATCGTGTGCTTTCACTTTCAGTGGTCGACCGGGGGCAGGATTCTGACCGGGGCAGGGGAGCCCCAATATAGCCGGGGTCTGGGCCGGGGCTGACCACTGAGAATTGGCCGCGGCCGGGGCCGGGAAATCTTCCATTTTGCCGGGGCCGGGGCCGGGGGTAGTTCACCAAACTGAAGTCAGAAATTGAAACATGAATTTGATAATAATTTAGGCTGGTGTGATGCAATCGGGAAGGATTAAACTCAAGGTGCGGCTTATCCTCACCGACTTGAGGATTAAACCGCAACTTCGTGCTGTGAACCAACTCAGGATAATCCTCATTATCCTGAGATCCATACTTAATTTCTAATCCTCAAGCTGTTACTTTATCTGGACCTCGGGATTTAAAACTAATCCCACATCCAAATATGGCTCGGTTCACAAAAATTTACCATAAATGTTAGGCTCTGTAGTTTACGTTGAGCCGTAATTTTAGCTGCAGTGCAGTATTTTTACTTTCTTAGTTTCTACGAGTACGTATGTTTTATCGCAAATTTCTCGGAGACGATTAATTTAAAAGTCTGATCATGCTGAGGAAGAACCACGGTTTTTATGTTACTAGCCGTAGTCTAATTTAAGCCGTATGTTGTATTTTCTATATTTAAACGTACTCAACGTAGACAATACATTTTTCAACTTTGAAATCTCATAATTACCATTAAATTGTGTTTGATTTCTTTCAAAAATGTGCCAAAATCGTTCATGAAATCCCCGGCTGTGCCCCCGGCAAATGCATGGTTTTTGGCCGGGGCCGGGGTTAAATTTATTGGCCGGGGCCGGGGTTTAGCCCCGGCGATTTGCCAAATTTTGACCGGGGCCGGGAAGGGCCGGGGGTTGTGATTTTGGCCGGGGCCCCGGTCGACCACTGGGACTCGGCAGATAAGCATAATTTACAGCGTAACTTAGTTAAGCAATTCAATTTCAAATATTCTCTTTTGAAATCCAATATACATACAGTTACAATATATTATGATAGAGCAGGACAAAATTGGAGTTTTATTCACATAAAAATGTTTACTCCTACAAAATATATATTGGTACACACACGATCAAGTTTTAGCTGCAGTGCAGTATTTTTATATACTTTCTAGTTTCTACGTATGTTTTATCGCAAATTTCTCGGAGACGATTAATTGAAAAGTCTGATCATACTGAGGAAGAACCACGGTTTTTATGTTACTAGCCGAGAAAATACTACAATTTAATCAAGGAACGATGTTGGATACCTGAGTTCTATATCTTTCGATAGCAACTCCATCTATGTATCTGCTTAGCTTCCATCTCTGATCCTGGTACTTGAGATTCCAGGTGTGTCTTTAAACAATGTTTTAAGGGCCCAACACTCAGCTCACTCAGTTGATGGTAGAACAGTGGGTCTTTGTGCGATGTTGTAGCAGGGACTCCACTTTTTGTTTTCTCTTGCATAGGAACATCTGAGAGCAACCAAAGCCGCCTCTTGGAACACTGCTTTCTTTACTCTCTTTGTAACACCAAAGTAGTTTAGTAAGGCTGGTAAGGTATGATGCCAGAAGCCTCTACACCTAACCTCTACCGTAAAAAGCTAAGCTTTCCAACCACTGCCATGCAGCCCAGGAATAAGCTCTCTGTTGTAACGTGCTTATTTACGTTCTACTTGGTCACTAAAGTTACTCTC